CCTGCCCAGGAGGAGCCTCGGGCCGCAGCCCCTGCGCCTCGGGCTGCCCTGCTTCCGTCTGGCACAGGCACCTTCATCTGCATTCAAGGAAGGCTCCACGTTTTGAAAATGCTTTCTGTTTTTCGATCCCTGCTGGGGGTCACAGATTGGGGTGCTGTGCCTCTAGGCAAGACTTGCAGTGTCCTCTTGGGGGGGGGCGGTCTCAGTCTGTGCCTCCTCTACCCAGGCCGCCCCTCCCTGAGCGGGGGCGGGGGAACCCCGGTGGGGCCAGCACCTCCCACCACCGGGCGCAGGCTGTGCAGCTGGGCTCTGCGCGGTGCCTCAGGTTCGCCCCCAGCCGGGCCCCGCTGCCTCCGGCCCCGAGGCGGCGTCACCGCGGCCACGGACAGACAGCCCACTGAGGTCTCTAGTGCGGGAGGACGGGGGGGCACATCACTGCAATGCACAAGCTGTGTCCTCTCGACTCCAGAACAGGGTGTAAATGGCACCACCAGGACACCAAGACACTCCCTCGTTCGCTCGAGATGACAGAAGAGAAATTTCTGGCACCAGCTGGGCTGTGATCCCCGCAGGCGCTCCCACCTCCGCCTGCCCACAACCTCCTTCCCCCGAGGACCACCGCGGCCCCTGCGGCATCTCTGTGCAAGTGAGAAGCTGGAAGCCCCTCCACGTGGCCACAGCTTGTGCGGGACCTGCCGGGCAGGGCGCACAGGGGGCCGCAGCCCCGGCTCGCCCCCAAAAGGCCCAACCGCACAGCCCCCCGCAGGGCCTGCTCTGTCCACCCTGAGGGTTGGGCAGAACCGCCGGCTGCTGGCGCTGCCCGCCTGGGGCCGAGGACAAGGATGGTGTGGGTGTTCGACCAGAAGTCAAGGGGCGTGAAGACGCTTGGGTGGCTCTGTCTCTGGATCCTGCCGGCCCCACCTCAGGTCACGAGAAGAGTCTACGCGCAGCCACCCCATGAAGAGCTTCACCTCAGATTTGGAGCGCACCCCAAAACCGTGGCTTCCAAACACTCTGCACCGCCCGCCCCAGCAGCTTAAGTGAAAAGGACACCCTGAGCCCCAGGGAGAACTGATCCCGGGAATTCAAGGTTGGTTCAACATTTGATGGCCAGTTCCCGGGACACCCCGCCCCAGCAGGAGAGAGGACAAATGCCACATGGCCCCCGGCAGGCCCGGAAAAAGCGTACGAGGGAGTCCGAGGCCTGGCCACAACTTAAAAATGAAAGCTCTCATAAGAAATGGTACCCGTAAACAACAACTCGCAACAAAGGAAAGAGGGGAGGGAACACAGGCTGCCGGCAAATGACACCAGGGACCCGGCGGGGTGAAGGCCGCACAGCCCGACCCGTCCCCGGACGCGGCGCTGCCCCAGGCTGCGGCTGAGTCTGCTGCATGAGGGTCACCCTCAGGAAAGCTGCACAGCAGGGCAGCTCCCTGGCAGGGGGGGCGGAGGAGGGGGCTGAGCAGCGGCTGCGGAGGGAAGGGAAGACCGCGGCTGAGAAGGCAGCCAGCCAAGCGCTGGAGAGAAGTAGCAAAATAATTCACGAGCGACGACCCTCCCTGGCAGAACCGAGCATCTGCCCGCCCAGAGGAGAAGCCTGCTTCCTCCCTCCGCTTTTCCCCCAGGCAAAGAAGTTTCCAGACCAAATAAGGCTGCAGCTCTCGCAACACTCCTGGCACAGAACGCAATTCCTTTTAAGTGCCAGGTTACAACTCGGGCCCAAGACGTCCCAGAGCAGCGCGGTGCCCATCGGCCCCGGCCCCTCCGTGTAGCGCCCTGAACACGCCCTGGGAAACGCAGAGCAGGCCGGCAGGGCCGGGACGGCCGGTCGGCCGGCGGGAGGCCCCGTGCTCACGGGGGCGGCAGGGCTCCCCGGCCAGCGGCTCCTGCGCACGGCCGCCGGCTCCTGGGGCCCGGGCGCCCTGGCCCTGACGTGCCCAGCGCCTGTGTGGGGGCCACGAGCCCGTCCCTGTTCCCCTGTCACCGCAGCTCTGCAAGATGAGGGCGAGGACGGCGAGCTCTCTGAGCGCCGAAGCGCCGGGCGCTGTGTCACAGGCCCTGGGATGCTGCAGGCGTCTCGCCTTCGCAGCAGCCCTGTGACCTAGGCCCTGTCATTTCCCCATCTTACAGGTCGGGCAGCTGAGGCCTGGGGCCGCGTAGCCTGTCGAGCAAATCTGGACGCGAACCCCAGGGCTGACCGGCCCCAAAGCGGGGCCCCCTCATGGGCTGCACAGCCTCGGACCCGAGCGGGAGGGGGTCGTGCCCACTGGGAGGAACCCTTGGCCTCCCCCCAGCCCCTGCACCCGGCTCCTGCGGTCGCCATGGTCGCGCCTCCTGGCTGGGAAGGCATCTGGCCTGGGATGTGTTTTTCCTTTTTTTGGGCTCCTCTGTCCAGACCAAGTGCAGGGCATTTTTCAAGCAACCGGCTACAAACATTTTCCTAAGAAGGTCTCCCTGGATGAGAAATGGAAACTTTTTGGGGCCGCAACCATCAACTCGGACAGTTTAACGATGCACCAAAACTGGCCGGAGGGGAGGTCCGCGGGGGCTCCGCGCAGGGGCAGGGAGCAGGGCGCAGGCACCGCACCAGCTGGCGGGGAGCCCACTCTCCTCGACCCGGTGCCACCCACTCATCGCAGGGGCTTCTCAGCACACAGGTGGGTGCAGACTGCACCCATCCCCGTCACAGAGGAGCAGACAGGCTCTGGAGAGGAAGGGACTCACCGAAGCTACGCTCCACAGAGCCGGCGCTCAGACTCGGGGTCTTCCTCCTCCAGACCCTCCCAGCGGCCCAGCCCCGTCTACCTCAAGTCCTTCCCGGCAGAACAGCCGTGGGAGGAGCATGGGGAGGAGGCACGGGGCCTGCCTGTTCTCTCGCCCCAACCCGCCCAGCCCCCCCGTGCGGAGGCGGGGCACACCCCGCGAGATATGCAGACGCGGGCTCACCTGGACAAGCCAAGGCTCTTTTAGCTGCAGTGACAGAAGCGCAAGGCAGACGTTCTTCAGCTAAAAAGGGGGGTTTAGTAGTGCAGGACCGTGGGAAGAAGGGGGCAGGGCTCAGGTGTGGCTGGATCCAGGCGCTCCCGCCATGGGACAGGCGATCCCCCTGCCTCGTTCCCGCTGTTTCCACGTCGAGTGCCTCTCTCCTGCGGGCAGGCCTCCTCTGGAAGGCAGGGTGGGGCTGCCAGCCCCACAGCGGAGAAAGGGCCGACACCTCTCCCTCAGCATCTGTGGGTGGACCCCAGGGTGGGGTCCAAGGGGCCCTGTGTGGACCCTGGCCCCTCCCTGACCCTGGCCCAGCCAAGCACACCCTGGCTGGGTGACCGGGGCCATCACCGCAAAGAGAGCGGGACAAGCAGGCACCCTCAGCCGGCACAACAGAGGCACCAGGTCCCCAACAGCCGTGACCCCAAACGCAGACACCTCGCCGCCTCACAGTCGTCTGCACGCACGGTTCCCGCTGGCCACAGCGCGAGGGCCGCGCTGACTGCAGGCGAAGCCCCCGGCCCCTCCTCCCGGTGCAACTCTGCCGACGCAAGTTGTCGGTGGACAGCGTGGCCCTTAAACACAGTGCGACGAGGCCCCTGCCCCCTTCCTGAACAGTTCAGTCCGAAGGACACCGACCGGAACAAGCAGGAAGGTGTGCATGTGAGGTGGAGGGAGGGGGGACAGTGAGGCACACAGGGCATTGGGCGGGGCCCCCACGAGAGGGCGACACAGTGCAGTGCCAGGCAGGGGGCGGCGGGCCCCACGGGCAGCCGGCCCAGCTCTGGCACAGGCAGAGGCCCCCGGCGAGTGTGCCTGCCGTGGGAGACGCATCAGAGGTGCAGAACCGACAAGGCTCCTGAGGGAGGCCGACCAAAGGCACAGCCACCCCAAACGGCCGCTCAGGGAGGCTGGGCACCACCAGAGGCCATGGGGCACGAGTGGAGGCCATGGGACAGGAGTGGCACTTATGGGGAGGGGACGTGTGCGGCAGGTCTGGGAGGGAGGGCGGCGGAGGGCGTCCCGGAGGTCACACCGGGGCTGGGAGTGGGGGCAGAGCTGGGAGGCGGGGCAGACCCCAGTGCCGATCGGCGCCACCTCTGACCCACGGCTCAGTCTGCGCGGCCCCACCCGCTCCGACATCACAAAGTCCCTGGACGCCCGAGTGTTCAGGGCAAACGGCCGACTTAGACATATGACATTCTCTGGGTGGTGTACACGTCTTTAATTTTTAAATAATTCATATCCCTTTCAAGCAAACAAAATCCTGAGACTACAGTAACACGTTCCCCTGAGCTTCTCTTAAACAAGGTAGTTGGCAAAGCACGTGAGCAGCCCTCGGGGGGCCCTGGGCTCAGACGGCCCTGTCCTAGGCGGTTCCCCAGCAATGCCATTTTGGCCTGTCCCTGACCCCAGCACCGGGAAGGGCCTGCATGGGCCAAGGCGCCCTCAGGAGCCACACCCTCCCGATTCCACAGGAGCAGGGACGGGCCACAGCGGCACCTGCTGCCTTGTGGGGTCAGGGTGGGGTCCCTGCAGCCACCAGGGACAGCAAAGGGAAACAGTCTGGGGACAGTCACAGTGCCAGCAGGGGGAGAACCAGCCCCGCGGGGACCCACAGGGAAAGTGCCCAGAGCGCTGGCACCTGGAGCATGCCCAGGGCCAGCCCCAGGCAGTGGACGGCCGGCACATCTCCAAGGGACCAGGCCCTTCCCGCCCCTCATGGAAGCAGGAACTCAGACGCTGGAATCTCGGGTTCGACTGGGAGGGAAGGGGAAGGCGGGGAACAGGCTGGGCGGGAGTGAGGAGGGGACATGGTGTCCCCGGGTCCCCCAACACCAGGCCCCCGAGAGGCCAATGCACTGCCTGGACCCTGGCCCTCTCCTCCCATTGTCTGGGAACGGCTCCTTGCTGGGTCCGGAGGCCCACCCGCCCTCCCACGGGCCCACACTGCACGCAGCCCTGGCGGAGGTGGCACGCGTGTGCTCGCCCCGCCACCAGAAGCAGCTCCGGGGAGCAGAAGGAGCCAGGGACGGCCGCACATCCCAAGACGAGGCCTGGAGGCCACGCGGGAGGACCCGCTGTCACTTGTCCTTCTCCCTCCTCTTGCTCTTCCTCTGACAGGTCAGCTCGTCCAGCTTCTTGTCCAGCCGCCGCTGGAGCTGCGCCCTCTTGGCCGGGTCCAGGGACCTGTCCTTGGTTCCGCTGCCCGCGTACAGGACCCCTTCCCGGCTGATCCTCTGCCGGGCGTGGGCGCGGGCCCTCTCCCCGCAGCCGTGAACCTGGGGGGACATAAGAGCCAGGGAGGTTGAATGGGACCTGGGGACACGGCTCTGCAGTCCCGCCCATCGCGGAGCTTGGGGGCCATGACGTCCCAGCACAAGCACTCAGAGGCGCTCCGTGCTCTCCTGCACACAACCCTTCACCTGCAGGCGCCCTGCCCCGCACCCACACTTCACCCGGGCCCCCTGGCAGGGTGGCGCAGCTCTGCAAGTGACCCACGAGACACGGGCCCACCCACGGCTGTGTTTACAAAGCAAAAGATACTGAAGGTGGGACTGTAATCTCCTCTGTACAAAAATCTTGTTCTCCGGCGCGCTGCGGCTGGGGCTCCCAGTGTGCACCTGCTGGTACGTGCCCGCCATGGGTGCGCCTGCCTGTCCCGCACTGTTCCAGGAGTCTCGGGCCTCCCCCGACCCCGGGCTGTCAGACAGGGCAGGAAGGCGGGGGCCAAGGGGGAACAAAGTGCCTCCCAGTGCCGGGGCCACAGTGCCACCCCAGTGGGCACAGTGCATGGACTCCTCCCAGAAAGTGCAGGGGCCACCAAACCCACAGGCCCCTCCCACAGCAGAGCGTCCTCGCTGCCCAACGGCGGGCACTTCCTGGTGGGCCGCTGGGGACCCAAGTTTGGGCCCAGTAAGGACCCAGACCAGACAGCCAGTGGACTTGCGGCCCCACCACAGCCAGGATTCCCCGTCCGACAAGAGGCGCTGCTGGCCTTCCCGCAGGAACCGACCGACGGCGCCGGGAGCGGCTCCGCTGGCCCTCGCGGCCTTGGCGCCCAGAGCCGCTCCTGGGAAGCCCCCAGGGGCCCGGCCACCCCCACCCCAGCCGCACAAACCCAGGTGTGACAGCTGTCTAACCCTCTACAGATACCCCCAGAACCTGCCCGCTGTGCCGAGAGTGAACCTGGAGAGGGGAAGGCAGAGGGGGAAAGCCCCTCTCGCCTGGGAGACACTTTCTGGGGTCCGACTAGGCAGGGTTCCCCGTGGGCAAGCGATTACAGCCCCTGACCCACAGTGACACAGCAGGACACAGCTCCCCCTGAGCACGCCACCCAGCGGCCCTCCCCCTCCCCCAGAGCCCACAGCCCCGAGGACCACCCTGGCTCCCTCCTCTTTTCCCCCTTGACAGGCATCAGCTCAGGGTCCCTGAACCCCCACCCCCCGCTGGACCCCTGGGGCCCCCGCCCACGTTCCTGCACCCCTCCCGCTGTCCCTGGCCTCCTCCCGGGCCCTCCCCGCCCCCCGGTCTCCCACAGCTAGCCCCGCCGCCATCAGTGGGCCTGCGCTCCGCCCGGCGCGCGCCGTCCTGCCCCGCACGCGACTCCGGCTCCCTGCACGCGCCACCTCCCGCCTGTCAGGCCTGGGCCCAAGCGTCACCGCCTCAGAAGCGGCCACCTTGGCCCTTGGGGCCCCCGCCACATTATGCCATTTGCTGGTCTCTTATCCTGATTCCCCAGCAGGCCCAGGGCTGCCTGGGGCAGAGACGAAGCCCGTTCCGGCCCCCCGTTCCCGCCCAGTCCCCACTCCTGGCAAAGGAGGTTCCCATGTGCTCAAGGCAGCTGCCAGCCAGCTTCAGACGGGCAGGCCCCGCCCCCACCGCCCCGCCTGACCCACTGACAGCCCGGGGCCCTGACAAACTCCCAGAATCCCACCCACGTGGCTGTCACGAGCAAATGCAGCATCTCCTGCTCCTGCCCGGGGCAGCGGCGGGGAGGGGGCTCCAAACAGTGAGTCAGTGTTCGTGTTTCACGTTTCAAAGAAAACACCCCTTGAGACACTTAGAGCTTACGATCAGCTACCGGTTCCGACGGGAGCATGTCCACCCGGGCCCTGGAGCCTGGAGACCAAGCCCTCGCCCCATCCCGGGCGGGGCCGGCGTACCTCGGGCAGGCAGTGGCTGAGGCAGTAGCGGCGGCTGCAGTGCGGGCAGAGCTGGCCCAGGGTCACGACGCTGGCCGTGCACTTGGCGAGGCCGCAGGTGCTGTCAGCCTTCACGGCAGCGGAGAGCAGGGCGTCGAAGTCGTCCGTGGCGGGCAGACGGGGGGCCGCGGGCCCTGGGGGAGAGCAACGCCGCTCAAACAGGGAAGAACGAAGGGTGGGACCAGACGTCTCCTGCTGGGCCCTGTTTGCCCCACCGAGAGCTGGGCCTACTCCCTGCCTTCCCTTCGGGACCAGGGCGCATGAGCAAAGGTAGGCTCTGTGGTGCTGGGACGCGTCCCTCTCAGTCCCCACCGGGCAAGGGGCCGCGCAGCCCCAGCCCCTGCAGTGCGTGGGGAGCTCTCCTGCTTTGGTCCAGAAAACATTCAATACGAGGATGTTCCTTACGAAGTTAACTATAAAAACAAACACCCGAAACCACCTACCCCCGCCCCCCAATGGTAACGGTGTGACAAACCACAGCGTGCTGGAGATGCAACGCCAGGAGACCTTAATGTTTTTAAACAGATGCATGAAAAACTTAAAAGAGCAAGATGCTTTTGAGTGAAGAGACACAGAACTACATGTGGTTGTAATTCTGCAAAATAAACACACACAAACACATAGAGAGACACAGACGCACAGGCACAGATGGGACGGGGAGGCGCCGCCCGGCGGCTGGTGTCTGCTCTCTGGGCACTGACACAGGAAGACATTTCCCTGCTCTGCGATGCCGTGACCGGTGCGCCGCGGTGCTCAGCACTCAGGTCAGAATGGTGGGCCAGGTACGGCTCACCTGTCCTACAGGCCTGCACGGCCGTCACCTCCCCAACCCTCCCCGCAGGACAGGCAGGGCTGCACATCCCAAGGGCACGGCCCTTGATTCATGGGCCTCTAGCCCACGGGGCTGCGGGTCCTGCTCAGGCTGCCTCTGCCTCTCACCGGCTGGGGCCCTGGAGACCAAGAGGGACGGGTCATGCCCAGAGCCCGAGAGGCGAGCTCAATTCTGAAAGCGGCTGCTTAAAGACACGCTTCAAACACTGTGCAGTACCCACGCCCTTGAAATGGGGCGACATCTCCCCAGGACGCTGTCCTCCAGTGACCACGCCGCGCGACTCCGCCCGGAAGGCAGGCCCGGGCCTCTGGGCACGATCTCCTGGCACCTGCCCCTTTGGGGCATCTACTCTGTCCCCAGCATGGTTTCAGAAGGAGTTCAAGGTCTCTGCTCTGCCGGGCGTTGGTTCCTGCAGAGCGGGTGGCACCTGTCCTGCTCGCTAGCGCAAAGCCTGGCCCACGGCAGCTGCTCGCTGCTGCTACGGAAAGAACTCCGCCGCTTCCAAAACCCACAGGTTACACCGGCTCCCAGGGATCACGTGAATAAAGGCGAAGGGGAGGGGCTCACCCCAAGTCTCCAGAAAATCCCGCTGCGACCACCAGGTGTCCCAGCGCTGCCCCTGGACATCGGATCCCAGCGCAGGGCGGCGTCTCAGGGGACGGCCCACGCAGCGCAGGACGCCACAGGCCACAGCCGCACCCGCGCCCTCCCTGGGCCAGAGTCAGGGCGCTGGCACGGCAGCAGGGGCCTGGCACTGCGCTTCCCACCGCCCAGAGGACACCCGCGAGCCGCCCATCTGCTCCGCCGTCCCCGCGCCCACAGCACGTGCGCTCTGTCTGCCAGGCCCTGCACGAGGCTCCGGGGACTCGAATGCCACCGTGACCAGTCGCCACCCTCGGGGGGCTCACTCCAAGCCCAAGAGGCGTGAAACACAGAATTGGGGCACCACCGGGAGGAAGCCCTACTTCTTTCTGGGGGCGCCAGGTGGGTTTCAAGTGGGGCAAACGTCCCAGTAAAGAGGACATCAAGCCTGTGTTCCTGTTAGTTGACCCGACTAACCTTTTGCATCTTTTTTCTTTTTCTTTTCTGGGAACTTCCGCGGCCCCGAGCCCGTAGCCTGCGGTCTGTCCTTGGCTTGCTGCCCCTGCCTCTCCCGCTCCCTCTGCAGTCTCTCCAGGTGCACGGCCCTCAGATCCAGGCCGCTCAGCTCTCTGGTGGGGGGCTCCGCCTGCACAGGGCTAGCGGGCTCAGGTCGGAGAGGGGCTTCGCTGTCAGCCCCTGCTGAGGGCTGGGGGGCCGAGGGGGCCGGCGTGGCCAGCGGGGCAGGTGTGGCCGACGGGGCTCTCTTGCTCACAGTGATGAACCTATTCTTCCCTTCCCCAGCGCTGTCATGCCTCAGCCCGAGCTCCTCGGCTATCTGGTGAATGCGCATCCTGTCGTGTGAGTTCAGGGAGGCAGGAAACTCCAACTGCGTTTGCTCACTCGCCACGAACTCTGCTATCACGGCCCTGAAGTTCTCGGCACCGTCCCTGCTCTCCGTCGGCTCTGGGCCGCCTCCGTTGAGGCTGGGCTGGGAATGGGCCTCAGAGCCCACAGGCTTCCCGCGCCGCGTCTTCGGGGCCGGCCTGGCCTCCCGGGCTCCCTCGGGCCGCCTGCTTCCAGGCTTCGTGGAAGACGTGGCAGAGCCTTGGGGCTTCACGTCTGCCTGGCCCTGGCCCTGGGAACTCTGGTGGGAATAGTTTTCAGGGACGATGTCGTCAAGATACTCAAAGGCCGTGCGTACCTCGCCGTGCTCTGAGATGTAATCCACCAGGGTCTTCAGGAAGGCGTGGTTGCTGACAGTGCGTGAATCGCAGACAACCGCCACGTGGCGCCGCGCGCGGGTGACAGCGACGTTGATCCGCCGGTCCTCAGCCAGGAAGCCAACCTCACCTAGAAGTGAGGCAGGGCAAGTGGGCAAGCGGGCAAGCAGATCGAAGGCTAAGCAGCAAGCCACTCTCCTGCTCTGATCAGCAACCGCCCCCTAAGACGGACCAGCGCCAGGCTCGCCACCGCTGGGGCCCCGTCCCCACGTCCCATGGACTCGCCCCGCCCCCCCAACGCCACTGTCTCATCTGCGGCTGGAAGGCCCGTCAGGTGACACCCGGCTGGCTCACCGTGGCCCATCAGGACGGTAAGATGGCACCCAACCCGTGTTTCGGTGGCCAGCATACTGTCACTCATTCCCGAGTGGGTGCGAAGTCCCTCCCCCCAGGCCCGGACCTAGGACACAGCCCAGGGGACGAGGACGCGGCTGCAGCAGCTGCCCGAGGGGCATGCGAGGGGCGCCCCGGGGTCTTCTCTGCCCACCCAGTCCTCCCTCCCACCTGCTTTCAGCCTTCCACTGACAATGCTTTCCGAAGCCCACTGCCTGGAAGCTGTTTCTGGGTTACAGTTTTCTTGCCAGACTATCCACAAGCCTCGGTGGCCTAAAAACCACGCCCTGAGGCTGACCCGGCCTCGAGACCAAACGGAGCGCTCCAGGCTTCGGGGCTCCACCTCCCCAGCAGGGCGTCCGGCCTCGCTGCCTGTCCCAGCTCCCAGCCTCCCATGCACCTCGTGCCCGGGCTCCGCCCTGCGCAGGCGACCCGTGCCCCGCCCCACGGGCGCTGCTCCTCTCCTGCCGCGGCGCCCGCAGGTGCTGGCTAGCCCCCAGAGCAGGGGCCTCTGGGAGGCCTTGCCACACTTGGCTCGCGCTGGCTTCCCAGTCGCCCCCCAACACACAGGCAGCTCGCGGAGGACGGCCAGGCGCCCTCCCGGCGGCGGCACGACCCCCAGCGGACCCCGGCCCTCCCTCCCCAGACGCCAGCGAGCGCTCCCCACCTTTCCTGTTGGATCTGACGAAGGACAGGACCACGGCCTCCTTCTCCCGGCCCTGGAAGCCGTCGACGGACCGGATTTCCAGCTCGGGGTGCCTGTGCGCAAGGCTCTGCCGGAGCAGGTCCACCTGAAACCCACGCAGGCCCGGGGCTTGGCACGCTGCCCTGCAACAGCGCAGGGCCTCGCCCACAGGGCCGCCCAACCTCGGGGACGGGCCTCCGTGCCACCCTCCTCGCAGGTGCGTGACGAGCACACAAAATGACTGTCACTGACCTGGATAGGACCCCCGCCCCACACTGACACCACCATCTCTTGCAGCTCGGGACAGCCACCAGCCGCAGACGGCCCTGTGTGTGACGCCTGCGGAGCAGGAGGGGGTGGCCGCCGAGCCAGGACCTCTCAAGGCTCTGAAGCAGGGGCGTTTTCCTACCAGGGGACACAGGCTCTGCTTCAGAGGCACAGAGACGCGGGGAGGACACATGAGAAAAGCCAAAGAGAAGGGAACAGCTGTCTGTTGCCCCTGCTGACCCGCCGCCAAGCCACCCGCAAGGGGCAGCCTGCGCTGACTCTCCGTCTGGGGAATCCACTCCCACACCCACTCCATCCACGGCGCCCCACAGGAGCCCGGCTGGGCCAGGCCCCAGCTCCCGGCCACAGCGCCTGGCTCTGCGAGGGGGACAGCCCGAGCCAGACTCACAGGATCGGACACGGAGGTTCTGGCGGAAATGCCATAAAAGGAAGACCGTTCCCCAGGGACGGCCTGTGCGAGGACAACGTCAGCGTGAGGCTGTCACAGCCACCGGGACACTGGCCAGAAATGGAAGCCAACACCAAGGGCCAGGCGGGGAGGTCACGTGGGGTGTGGGGTGGCAGAGCAAATGAGACAGTTGGATAGACAGACAGACGGACGGACAGAGCAACAGGAGCTCTTGCTGATGTCATCCGAGCCTAAATGCAGGCGTGATGGGTCCACTCCACCCCACATTTTCGGGCACAAGGACCAATACACGGCCCGTCCTCCAGGACGTGGGGAGGGTGAGTCCCACCGACAGGCATGGGGGGGCGGAGGGGCCTCTTGCACCTGCAGGTTGTACGGCGTGATGACGGCAATGTCTCTCGCCCGGACGCCAGCATCCACCAGGGCCTGGACGTGCAGGCTGACCAGGCGCACCTCACCTGCGGAGGACAGAGAGCGGGTCCAGGACAAGGGACTCTCCTGACAGCTGGATGAGCGTTTGCTCTTTCCAGCACTTTCCGTCTGTTACGAGGAGCTGATCTGACAACATCCTGGGAGCTCACACCTGAGTTGGAGGGTTGCCGGTTTGACCAACCCAAGTGCAGGACACCCTGCCCACCAGAGTTTGTAGAAACTGCAAACGCCCCTGCAGTGCAAGCGTGGCCACGCGTCCCCCGTGAGCGGCGCCTGGGAGCGGGGCTGGGCAGACGTCCTGCTGGCTGAGCAAGGACCCGGGCCCAACCCAGCCAGGAAGCGCGGGCCACTCTGCTCAGACAGGAGGTGACCCCCCGCCCAGGCCATGGCTGCCTCGACTGGCGCTGCTGGCTCACGGAGAACAGCGCCGCTGACTCAGGCCTGAGAGCCTCCAGCCACCGGCCGCCTGCGGCCCCAGGGAGCTGTGCTCACAGCCTCTCCCGCACCGTCCCCTCGAGTCCACTCCCGGTCAGCAGCTTGGACGGGCCTGTGTGTTTGAAAGGAGCCCGGGGTCCATCGCGGTGGAAAAGCCGGCCCCTCCCAGCGCGCTCACCGGGGTTGCCTCTAGACGGGTCGTCGTCCTGCTCCAGCTCGGACAGCCCGCAGCCGGCCGTGTCCACCAGCAGCAGGGGGAGGCCCGTCTCCTCGGTGGCCGCCACCCCCGGGAGGTCCCTGCCACGGGCAGACGGGGCGCGTGAGGCCCCAGCGTGCGGTCCCTGAGAGCAGCACCCGCGCTTCCCTTCCTCCCCCCATGCGGCCCCTCCCACAGGCGAGTGGGGCACCACCCACAGCAGCACGGCAGGCAGGAAGCACATCCCACGGGAGCCCCCCTCACCCAGCTCTGCAGCGCACGCCCGCCCCTCCTCCCGGAAAGCCGGCCCCCCAGGCAGCGCCTCCCCAACCGCTGCACAGCCCCGCAGTGGCGCAGCCCTGCCACTCACCGCAGCAGCCGCTCCGCCACGGATGGGTGCGCCGTGAGCCGCCCCTCGTACAGGGCCTCGGAGGCCCAGCGCATGATGGCGCGGTGCATCCGGTACTGCACCGTCAGCGTGCGCACCACGCCCCCGCCGCGCTCCGCGGCCAGGCGCTCCATCAGGCTGAGCGACAGCCCCCCCAGCGCGGCCCTGCACCGAGAGGGAAGGAGAGGAGCCTGGAGGGAGGCCTGCCCAGCCCGTCGAGTCCAGCTCGAGACCCGGGCCCGGGGGAGGCTGTGCTCAGGCCTCGAACCCGACTCCGCTCCCAGCTTGGACCTAAAACCAAGGCGGGGGGTTGGCTGAACAGGGGCTCCCGGCAAAGCCTGCATTCTCCCCCGGGCCGGCAGGCATGTGACAACGGGACTTAGCAGGTCTGAGATGGGAGCCGATCCCGGGCCACACAGGGGACCCCGCGTCATCCGGGGGTGCTTGTCGGAGGAGACACAGGGTCAGGGTCGGAGAGGACAACGTGAGGAGACAGGGGACGGGGTGCCGCTGCTGGCGCTGGAGACGGGCAGGGGCCGCAGGGTCGGGAGCACGGTGGAGGTGGGCCTCCCCCGGGAGGCAGCACCCCCCCTCCCCGGAGGAGTCTGTGCTCGGTCAGCGCTGGGAGTGCGGTCCCGCAGCGGCCGGGCTGCACGTGCTGAGTCGCTCCCAGGGCCTCCATGGAAGGATGGGCCTACTGGCCGGGCCCTGGGGTCCCTCCCCAGGGGCTGGCCAGCAGAGCCCACGGAGGCGCCTGCATGCACACGTCGGTCCCGTGACCCCCCGGACGTACCCCACCCAGCGAGCACGGCCGAGACGAGTGCGGCACGACCTCTGACCCCAGGAGCGTGGGCTGAGAGATACGGCATCTAAATGAGCAGGTGTGGAGGAGGCACCACCTGGGCCTCCTGTGAGCTCGCGACTCTCAGGCCGGCCCTCGCGGGGCAGAACAAAGCGGTGAGGATACAGAAGGAGCAGGGGCGCCGGGCAGAGGGTCTTACTTGGAGGAGACGACGGTGGGGGGCAGCTGCTTGTGGTCCCCGGCGAGGACGCACTTCCCGGCCCTCAGCAGGGGCACCCAGCAGCTGGCCTCCAGGGCCTGGGCGCACTCGTCGATGACCACCACGTCGAAGTGGTCATCGGGCAGCAGCTTCAGGGGGCCGTCAGAAGAAGCACCTGGCGAGGCCCGAACCACAGCGTTTACAGGAGGCGAGGGCCGGGCCGGGGCAGCCGCAGTCACAGCCAGAGGGACACAGCGAGCCCGCTGTCCCACACCCAGCCTCGCATGCCGACTGTGTGTGTAACGAATGTGCGTCCCGGGATAAAAAATGTGGCAAGGACGTTAAAAAGTCCACCATCCCCATCCACCTTACAGGGGACACGGTGTGTCCCCAGCCGTCGGCCACTCTGGTGCTTCAATCCCCAAACCCGATCACCCCGGGGGGGCTACGAGCCCCAAGCCCCCGGAAGGCTGCCTTATTTCTAAATATTGTTCCTGTCTCATTTTCTGAACTTAGAATGTAATGAACGCTCCTCTCAGGTGTTTTCAAAACAGTTAACCAGTGCGCCTACGCCCCGAGACAAGCCTCCAGCGTCTGAGCACACGAACCGGGGCACAGGCTCTTCCCTCCTGCAGTGCAGGGAGCGGTCCAGTGCGGGCTGGACCAAGCCCCGCGCGACTCCCTGTCCTGGCCGGGCATGTGCGTGGGCCAGCCCCCACCGCCCCTGAGCCGGTCCCGCGTCCTTAAAAATATCAGAGAATGTTACGAACAACTTTGTGCCCCTAAATCCAACAACTCAGATTAAATGAGTTAAGTCCTTCCCAGATACAAGTTCGCTCAGGAAGACGTAACCTAAATATCCCCGTATTGATGAAAGAAATTGACTTTGTAGTTAGAAACCTCCCCACAAAGAAAACTCCAAGCCCAGATGGTTTCCATGGTGAATTCCACCCAACGGGGAGGACCAGCCTGCACCCACGCTTCCAGGAAACTGCGGGGGACGCCTGCGAGGTGTCCCGGGCCCCTCACCTGTGTTTGTGGCCAGGACCACGTCCGCTGCCCGGAGGCTTTCCAGCGTGGCGGCCTCTTCCCGCTCCCTCAGCTCCTTCCTCAGCAGCTTGATTTCGTTTCGAAAGTTACTTTTCTCCCCCTTTTCCTGGGTCTTTTTCATTTTCCCCTGTAAAGGAAAGTGAAGAAAATATTAATTATTTTGACACAACTTGGCGCACACCTAACTCTTCTTAGTTCACAGAGTACTTTTACTTATGATCATTCAGTCCATTTCAGTAAGTTCACTGAAAGGCACTGAAGGAGCCAAACTCTTTCTTGAAGGAGCAACAGATGCACAGAGGTGACTAAGCCCCTGCCGCCCTGCATGGCCTGAGAGCCGCTGGCCCCTGCGCGGGCAGGGGCGGGGGTGGGAGGGAAAGCCCGGGTCCTCGGAATAGACGGTGCGTGGCCCTGGGCTCGGATGGGGCTGGCATGCGGCCCCGCCCTGCCCTGACAGAGGGTCGCTGGCGTGGCTCCGGGGCGGCAGAAAGCAACCGCCTGTCCCCGGACGCGGGCGCGGGCGGTTCATAGCCAGGGAAGCTGCGCTTTCCCTTTCATTCCGCGTTTGTCAAGAGATTAAAAAGATTTTGTTTAGTCCATAAAAGGGTTACCTAAAGCTCACCTTACTTCAATACTTAAAAAGAGACATAAGCCCCCTTCCCTGTGAGTCCTCCTCTGGGGGACGGGGTGCCCAGAGCGGGGACAGGTGGGGCCGCTGTGTCTCGCTCACAGAGCAGACAACCCAGAAGCGCCAGCTGGAAGAGGACAGGACAAGGCTGCTCCGCATTTGCGACAGAACACAACCGGGACCCCGGAGCACTGTGCCGCCGCCAACGTCAAGGGACACGCACTGACCCTGTCCCTCCCTGGCTGTCCCCACGCTGGCAGCGCGCGCCCCCCCCCGCTCTGCGGGAAAGACTGGCGCGTGGCGCCGGCCCTGAGGGGCTGGGACACGGAGGAGCTGCAGCGCAGCCGCAGGCGGCGAGCCCGCGCAGGCAGGGTGCTGCCGTAAGTCCGCGCAAACCCGGAACTGGAGACCAAAGCGCCTGGAAGGGCCGGGCCACAGCAGAACCAGTCACGCGGGCCTGCCGCCTGCCCTGTCCTCCTCCGCGAGGCGCACGCAGAAGGGAGGGACACATGGGGGGGTACGCGTGTTCTCTGAAATTTTGTTTTCAGGTTTGTTTGGTTTCTTTTGCTACCAAGAGTATCCAAACAACACGACCAGGCATAAGGGACACGTAAGAGCAGTGTCTTCTTTCAGGCAGCCCCTCGCCTGCTCGTAGAACTGCCCCGAAGACAGCCGAGCCCATACGAAGCGCCGAGCGCAAGGGGCGGCCCCCACGCGGGGCACCACTGACAGAGCCGGCGGAGGCCGCAAGGGGCCGGGGACACAGGCAGGCACAAGTCAGCCCCAGACATGACCGCGGGTCGGAGCCCCCTGGGTGCGGACGCCGACCAAGAGACACGTACAAAGGCCTGGTCGATGTCCCTCCTGATGTCCGCCACGATCCGGGCACAGTCGCTGCGCGCCAAGGCCGCGTCGAGGCAGTGCTGCAGGATGGACTCCAGGAGGCGGGCGGGGTGCCCGAGCCGCAGCACCCGCCGCCCGCTCCGAGCCAGGGCCTCCACCAGGTTGTCCACGGCAACGTTGGAGGGCGCACAGCACAGGACCTGCGGGAGCGCGAGCTGATGAGACCACTTACATCTACGCAGAGGAGAATGGGGAGGCTCCCAGGTAAAGAGCGCAGGGTGCAGCGTGCACGGGCGGTGAGGGAGAGCTCACGTCACCGCGCACCGTCACAACATCTGGACAGCCGGGACTCGGGCCCTGAGAACCTCCTCGTCTCCAGAGCCCCGGAGACGCTGAGGGACTTGCAGCTGCACAGGGAAGGATGCGGCACCCAGAAGTAACCGGTGGGCACAGGGTCTCACTGCCAACCCCACGGGTGCACCCCCGACAGCGTGGGCCGGGGGGAGCTCGACTGGGCTCAGTCTGGCTCCCAGAACCGCAGCCCCGCCATCTGCAGCAGGCGGCAGCCGGCACGGGAGGCAGACAGCAGGGCCCCTGCTCGGGTCAACGTCAGGCACGGCGGCCACGCCCCCCCCCCCCAACCAGGTGGCCACAGGCACCCCTGTGCCCGACCGTGGAGCCAGGGGCATCCTCCTTTGGGTGTAGTGAAACCCCCAAATCTGCTTCGGCCAGGAAGCCATCTTGCCCCGCTGCGCAACGCCCGCGGCACAACATCTGCCTGCAGAGAACCTCGGGATGCGGTCCCATAACCGAGTGCTGGCTGTCCCTGCAGCTCGACGTGGCAGCGGCTCCGCCCAGAGGCAGGAAGCTCACAGTCAGCTGGGCAGCCTCTGTACAAATCCAAGTCCCGACTCTGCCACTGACTGCTGAGGGACCGGGATACGGCCATCGCTCCCCTGCAAACTGGGGCCGCCCCTGCCCTGGCACCCAGGGCCCAGTGAGGACTACACGAGGGACTGCCCGGAGGCACTTGGAGGGCGCCTGGTCCATTAAAAGCACCCAGTGCATGAGACCTACAAACGTCGAGTGTTAGTCTTCCGATTCCGGTCATCCAACATTTATGAACCAGAGGATTTTTTTACAGCTTTCCCCGTGCTTAGAACCCACGATGGCTCACGCTGACAACAGAGGAGGACAAAGGAGCCTTCCCCAACCTTAAAAACACCAGTGAACAGTGACAGTGTTACTTCCCGCCTCGCAGGAAGTCAGGGGCCCGTGTGCTGCAGGCGCACGGCACAGCAATTACCCAGCCCGCCTGACTCCCGTAACCGCCCACTGCCCTCGCCCCACACCCGCGTGCGGCTCCGAGGGCACGGACAGGCCCCGGTCCCCTCCGCGCCCCAGCTTGCCCCGCGCGGCCCTGGCCTAGAGCACGCGCACAGGGTCAGCAGACGTGCCGAGCGGACACTCCCGGCCTCAGAGAGCTCAGGAGCCTGTGCCCAAGTCCCACGTGGCCATCAGGAATTAGAAGGGGCCGCCGTGCCCAGCAGACATCAGGAGGCCCTGACCAGGCCCGCCCGAGCCGCCTGGGGCCTGCTGGAGGCTGGTGAGCATGGCGGGCCGGAGCCGGTCAGCACTGGGGGGAATCCCGGGGACCCCGGCCCACCTTGAGGCCCTGTTTCACAGCCTGAAGAATGATCTCCACCAAGGTCGTGGTTTTCCCAGTGCCGGGAGGCCCGTGGATGATGGCCAGTTCCTTCTGCGACAGCGCAAACATCACCGCTTCCTGCTGGGAGGCGTCCAGGGAGGCATTGTAGAAGGCCGGCGCCTCTGCAGGAGGAGTGACCCAGTCAGGCCCGGCCTGGGCCCCGGGCACGCCTTCCCCACGGGCAGCAGGGCCGAGCCAAGGTGGGAGCCGGGCCTGCCCGGGAGTCACGCAACCAACACAACATCGACCTGCTTTGTTTCAGGTTTCCCTGGAACAGGAAGCGGCAGCCTGCGGACCAGGCCTGCTGCCCGCTTCCCTGAGTCGGGTTCCACTGCGACTGGCCACGCCTGCCCAGGCTGCAAAGCCTGAAACACTGACCATCTGCCCAGTTACTGGAAAAGTTTGCTGAGTCATGCTCAGGATAACAGACTTTTCTCCAGTAAACATTCTTGGAAAATGTTTGTTTCTACTACGCTGTCCCTTTATAGACACGTGCCCATAAAATGTCAAAAATAAATGATACAAAGAGTACTAGCAAATTCTAGGACCGTGTTCTACTCCGAGTCTTTCCGACTATTCGTTATTCACTCCGCGGGCTCCGTGACGCGACAGCAGGTGCCGCTGCATCTGGCTCTGCTCCCACAGTGTCCAGCCCGCGTGCCTGCTCGGCGGGGACACCCATGACACTGCCAGGGCTGATCCGAACATGTCAGACTCAGAGGGACGTGGGACGGAGCGATGGCACCTGGGCCAGGGCGCCCGGGCGCGTCCCGCCACTGCAGGCCGCGGCCCTTTCTCCTTAGGTGTCAGCCATGGTCCCCACAGGCCACGTTCCCTCAAAGGGAGTGAGTGAGTTCCACATGTGCGTGTGCAAAACACACGCGCATGTGGACGTGGGAAAACAACCGACCATCAGGCACACGTATCTGTGAGGCAAACCACACAGCAGGTTTCCAAGGGACCGTCTCCCTGCTCGCCTGCCTCGGTATTTCCAAATCTTCCCCGACAAACACGTCACTCTTACAGTCGGAAATTCGCTGTCTTCGATTTAAGGATGCTCAGAAGAGCCAATGAGACCTTTCCAACCGAAAAACTATACCCTCGTGCACACAGATGAGGGTACACCTCAGGCGTGACCGCTGCCCCTGCTCCCAGGCCCTGGGCCGGGAGGAGCACGGGCCCCGGAAAGGCCCTGGGCTCAGAGCGAGAGCCCAGTGCAGGCTGGCCGCTCCCAGGAACTTGTGGGAGAAGCGAGGGCGATTTCCTCCTCTACGGGTGCATTCTCAAACTCTTGCCAAAAATGGCCCAGGGCCACGGGACTCTCCTTGCTTCCCACAATGACTTCAACCAGAAGAGAAAAGGCGAACGTTCTTACGTATGTTGCTGGCCGGGCTGGGGGCTGCGCCACCAAAGAGGACCTCGATGAGCCGGGACGCAGGGCTGGCATGGTTCTTCTTCAAGGCAATCAGCGCTCTGTCGGGGAGAAAACGCAGGGCGGGTGCTTACTGAAATGCAGCCCCAAGGGCGGGGCCGGGGCCAGGCCGGCAGCTGCTCCGCCTGCGGTCCCCAGGGCTGCGGGGGCCCGCGGACGAGCCCACGCCACCCGAGCACCCCGCTCTCCCTGCCCGGCGGGGCCGTGCTCAGGTACAGCGAGCTGCGTTTAAGGAAACTGTGACACGTGAGGTCCAGCCACCTACTTACGTTTTCAGTCGCTTGTAAGTGACGTCATTGGCAAGTTTTAACAGTCGGTAGGAATTCTCATGGTCTAAGCTCAACTGGCAATCACAGGACTGGTCAAAGGCCACTGTGACCGATTTCTGGGTGATCCGGGTCAGCACCCCGGTGGCCAGCTGACCATCGCCACCATACAGACCCACGATGTCGCCTGCAAAACAAAGACTCAGTCACATAAACACCGACCAGTGTTGACTGTAAGTTATTTTATACAATAAATTCTGGCATATTTCAAATATCCTGTATGTTGCTTTCTTTAGAAATGAAACCAGTGGCAGTAAAAAAAATAAACGTTTAACCTCTAAATCATACGTGACCATTGATGTGAGATCAATGAATGGTTTAAGACAAACGTGACAGTCTATAAAACGCCAGGTGCACACCCCGGGCCATGCCCCGGGCTGGTCGCTGCCCTGGGTGGGAGTCGCCCTGGCCCCGCACGCTCATCGGGGAGGAGAAAGGTCAGCACAGCAACCAACCGGGCGCCCGTGCCAGGAATGCCCGGGGAGGGACGATGAAGCTCAGGGAGGGGAAGGAGGAGGGCAAGGGCACCGCCTTAGCGCGTGGGGCAGGGCCGGGCCAGCAGGGGGCCCTGGACGAGGCGGGGCCACGCGCACATCTGGGGAGAACACCGCTGGAGGTGGTGCAGCACGCATCTGCCACCCACGTCCTGCGGTCACTGTTCACGGTGTCACCATCGGCCAGGGACGAAGAGTGTGTGGCCCATGCCTGAGCCAACTGTGGCTTCGCCTGCCCCTGGCCACGGGGGCTGTTCAGGGACGGGCACGGGACCAAACCAGAGCCCCTGGGACACAGGGCGTCTTGGCTGGGGCAGCAGGAAAGGGGCCCTCCTCCTCCCCAGCCAGACCGTAACAGCCCCGAGAGGATGCGGGCCAGAGCTGCTCCCTCGTGGCGCCTGAGGAGGAAGCTAGCCCAGAAGGGGACAGAGCCAGAACACGGGGCGCAGCTCGGCCCAGGCGGCCGCCTCCACACCCTTGCGCTGGCCTCGCGGCTGCCTTGGCCAAGGCCGCCCTCCCTGCCCTGGCCGGTCTGGCTCCGGCTTTCCGCCGCTGGGAGGCGGCTCTGACCAAACAGAGCTCACTGTGGTGTGAAGCCAGGCCACGCACATATTCACGCCCTGCGGGCCCCACGCCTGCCAGAGTGCGCCAGGCACTGACCAGGGGCTGTGGCGCACTCTGGGCGTTTTCTTCCCGGCAGAGAGTCCTATCTGCACCTTGACTTCTTCTCTGCCTCCTTCCCCAACTTCTTTAATCCTAACCAAGGACGTGTCTTTATTGATTTTAAAGAAAAAGGGAGACAGAAAAAGAAACATCAACGTGAGAGAGAAACAGCGATAGGTTGCCTCCTGTACACGCCCCTGACCACAGACTGAACCTGCAACCTAGGCGTGTGCCCTGACAGGGAATTGAACCCGCAACCTTTTGGTGTACGGGACGACACACCAACCAACAGAGCCACCTGGCCATGGCCTTCCTTAACTTTGAAAAAGAAACACCAGGTGGCAACAGTGCTCTTGGGGCAGGGGGCAGGCTCTGTGTGCGGGGCCCACCCCGGGGCGCCCCTCCCCACTGCGGCTGCCCCGCGAGCACCGAGTGGGACCCCGTGTTCCCGAATGCCACGTCTCCAAGCCACTGAGCCTTAAAACTGCTCCTCGGATAAAAAATTACAACGCCACCTGAGTTTATCGACAGCTCTGGCAATACCCCAAATTTTCGGAGGGCTGTTTTTCCATATAAATGCCACTTCCTCTGACTTCCTGCTTATCGAGGAGTGAGCTGTCCCTTAGGTCATTCGCTCCACAGAGCCTGTCAACTGAACACACGCTTTTAGCTCCGCACTCCCAGAGTTTCCGAGCCACCCACACAGACATCCAGTCCTGCTCAGGCAACCCCGAAAGGCACTCCTGTAATCCCCTCAGCCTTGGGTGCGGCCACCCGTGTCAACTGGTCACGTGTAACCTCGTCTTTACAAGAGCAAAATCCACAGTTTGAGGCCAGTCATAGTCGGTTACACGCCCATGTCAGAAAGGCACAGACCGGAAGAAAAGCTGTTGCTGGGAAGCACGCCGGCAGATGCGCCTCTCCGGGGCTCCCAGGTGACCAGGAGCTGTCCGTACAGCCCGGTCCGCTGGCTGGACAGCTGCAGCTTCAGCAGGCAGACGCCTCGGCTCTGAAGCTCTTTCAGGGAGACGTTTTCCTGCCAGGACCTGGAAGACACCCAAGAGTTGACATCAGAATTTGCACTTCACCTGATATTATTTCCACCCGTGCAGGAGAAATCTCAAAGAGAGAAAAAATGAAGATCTGGGCACAGGCACTAAATATGGGCCAGCGACATGCCGGCTCTGCCCCCTCAGACCAGCTCCCGCCGCCTCCCCAAGTGCAGTTCATGACATGAGCCTTGGGCCACCTTCACCAGCTCCTCTCCCCCCTCCATGCAGCTCCCGTGAGTCACTAAGTCCTCTCGGGCCCCTCCTGTGTATACTGCGAACCCACCGTGGCCTCTCACTCCCCTCTCCGGAGCCCTGGTTCAGATTCAAGCCCACCTCACTGGCGGTCGGGACCGAACAGAGCTTCCTGTCTAACAGCTGGGCTCTCCCCCTCCAGTAGCCAGCATCGACACCCAAGTGATCCTCCTGAAATGCAGATGTATTCACCCTCCCCCCAACCTGCTTATTTCAGTGCAGGCTTCCTCCACGCTGGACTGTAACGCAAGCTCTTCGGCGAGGCCCTTCCCATCCTGACGCCTGTTCATCTTCCCACTGGCGTGCGCACTCCGCACTTGGTACCATGCCAAGCACTTGACTTTGAGTAGAAGCACTTCATTCTCCCGGGACACCTCTGAAGTGGGAATGATCCCATTTTACAGAGTAACTCAGGCTCAGAGACATAACCTGCAAAATGCCACAGCTAGAAACAAAGGAGCTGGGATCCTCTAAAAGCTCTTAACGGTCAGGGAGCTCTTAACAGTCATGATCGAAGCCCCTCAAACAAATGCCAGCAATGCATACAGCGCTGTGGCTGAGTGCAAACTCTGGAATCAGGTGCTGACTCTGCCTGTGTTAGCTTGGGCAGGCTGCTTAACCTCTGTCTCAGCCTCCTAGATGTGAAAGAATAATGGTGTTGTGCTTGGTAGGAGCACCGAAAGGTGCTGACGCAGGCGGAGTGCATACGGGCGCTGGCCCTTAGTGTTCGAGCACGGGAGCAGCTGCTCTTGTTCAGACACAAGCGCATCTCTCCACTCCTCCTGCAGGTCCACCTTCAGTCGTATCTTCCTGAGGCTGGGCGCAGACAGCATGTTCTCCCTGAAAGCACCCTTCCTTTACGCCCCGCCCGCCCGCAGTTAGATGTCATTTCCCCACCCCCACACTCCCACAGCACTTTCGGGCCCCCAGGCATTAGCATGTGCCCCTTGTCTCGCTGGAAGGGAACGCTCAGGCTTCTGTCTACGCCTCTGCTTATTCCCAGGCTCCCACTGCCAATCACTCTCTCACTGGGGCCTGGCACACAACAGGTGCAAACACAGGTGGGCGCCTGAGAAAGAGGGCTGGGCACGCGCTGGGATCGAAATGGGGGCAGAGGCAGGACCTCGGAGAGAAAGTCCGGGAACTGTGGGTACTCCAGGTCGAGAAACGAAAGGGCTTTCTGAGGGTCCCGAAGCAGAACGGGCTTTCCCACAGGTGACGAGGTTTCCACCTCTGGAGGTGGCCGAGCCGCTCGAAGAGTCCGCCCGCGTCTCAGATCAGGGCTGGGGAAACTGCCGGACCGACCCCGGCCGCCGTACCTGCGCTCCTCGACCTCCGCTTCTCTCTCGAGCTCCAGCAGGTCCAACTGCTTGGCCACGAAACTCTCCACAGCCGCCGAGGCCATCGCCGCCGCCCGACCCTGCCCGGAGCCGCAGAGGACCGCCCGCCGCGCGGGGAATGGGTTCCCCGCCGGGCCTGGTGCGTCGACGCACCAGGTTCATGGCGCTTCCTCTTCCGCTTCCGGCCGACGCTGCGGGAAGATGGCGGCGGCTGTGGTGGCCTCGGTCCTGCCAGTCACCTTCGGGCGGCTGGTGTCCGCGTGCAGCCGCAGCATCCTCAGACCGTCCGGGCCAGGAGCTGGTGAGACCCGGGTCTCGGGGTGAAGGGAGGAAGCGGGGGAAGCGGTACTTCCCGCCGTCCCGCCACGTGTGTGTGTGTGTGTGTGTGTGTGTGTGTGTGTGTGTGTGTCCGACCTGATGCTTTCGGTGCTGATCGCCTTTTTTTTTTTTTTTTTTTTTTTTTTTTTGATGCGGCGAACACAGTACCGGCTTTGGAGTCGGGGAAACCGACATTCAGATCCTGATTGCTTTAGTTAGTAGCTGAATCATTACCGTAGTTCTTCAACTTCGGAATAAACCCTGTGTTAGGGGAGGAGCAAACTGACGTTCAGAGAGGTTAGGTAACTTGCCCAGGGTCACCCAGCAGGGAGGCGGGCGGGGTGTGATTGAGAGAGCTGCGTCCGGCTCCAAAGCCTGCGCTTTCCCACTGCGCCCAGGCTTTGAGCCACTCTCTGAGCCTCCTCGTCCTCTCGTGGAAGAGTGGTGATGACTGTCCCTGCCTAATCTTAACCCATTCAGCGAATACAGCGGCTATATTCTAGTCACTGGATCCGGAGGCTCAAAAAAGGCTGTGTTCATCAAAAACTGTAAATGTCTGCTTCAAAATGGTTGGAGTGCGTATGTGTGCACAAGTATTTATGTATGGTTTTAAATTGGGCTAAAATGTACATTCAACGATATTGAAGAGTTTTTCCTTTTTTAGATGCCACAATAGTGTTATGGTCACCTGTATCATTTGATGTGTCGTTTTGTTTTTTTCATTTTTTACTTTATTGTATTTTCCATTACCATTTACCACCCATATCCTCTGCTGCCTCCACCCCCGCCCCCTGCCCACAGTCACCACGCTGTTGTCCACGTCCATGACTTTCCTTTTCTTTCCTTTTTTGCTTGATCCTTCCACCCCCTACCCCACTTTGTTTTGTTTTTTAACAAATTATCTTTCACATGTCCACATAAGAAATGTCCAAACCTGTAGCAAATTTTTATAAGAATTTATTTGAGCCTAAAGGAAAAGTGCCAGGAGCAAGATCTCAAATGCTCCAGAGAATAACAGCTTTATGCACTTGGGATTTAGGAAGATTACGTAACAGGTGGGAGAAGGCAGAGCGGGGACAGGGTCGTGAGATTCTGTGCTTCCTCAAGGGTGGCTGGATTTCAGAGGCGTGTGAGCCTAGGTTGCCGAGAGCAGCAGAGCTACAGGCAGGGCTGGCTTAAAACCCTTCACTGAAGAAGTGATGGGCCTGGGCTAAGACCACCCGCCATGACTGCCCAGTTAGGAATTTATGGTTGTTACAACATCCCTTTTCCATCCACACCTGGAAATGTACTGACGTCTTTTCTGATAAGACAGTGTCTGATTTGCTTTAAAGTAATGGCTAAGTTGAGCCAGAAGCAGGATAAATCCAACAGGATGGTCCTGAGTCTGTAGCCGTTGAATCGGGGCTATGGGAGGGTTCAGGGCTCACTGTGCTGTTGTCTTCACCATAGTGCGCTGGACATTTTAGGCAGTGATGTTTTTGCCAAAACAGTGGGACTTCCTCTAGAGTGCCGTGTCCAACTGCAGGCTCAAACTTTTTAGGAGATTAACGTGAAGTGCAGTGGATACAGAGAAGGTGGGCAAAATGGCAAGCAGACAGGACCTTGAGGATAAGTGAAGGAAACAGGATGGAAGGACACAGCCTCAGTCCTCAGATGCAGAGGACGGTCCTGTGGGACCCCTGTGGGGCCCAAGGCTAAGCTAAGGCCACGGGTAATAGATGCAGGAAAGCAGGTCGGTCCAGGAGCTTTCTCGCTGAGCTTCCAACAGAGGGATGGCTCCGAGGTGAGGTGCCGAGTTTCCAGGCACAGAGGATCGCAGCGGGAACGGCAAGGAAGCCAGAGGGCAGGTGCTGAGGGGGAACAAGGGGAGCGTGTCAGAGAGATGGCTTGTTCTGCCACCGCCCTATGGGCCCCTGGGAGCACTCCTGCTTTGTGTCTGAATAAAATAGGAGGCCTTTGGACGGTTTCAGCAAGAGGATGAGACGATGCGACCTAAGCTTTGAAAGGATCGCTCTACCGCTGCGCAGAGAAGGGGCCAGAGGGAGGGCAGGCATCGGTGTTAACCCAGGCAGGAGGTGGCGGCGGCGTGGATGATCTCAGTAGTCGGAGCCTGGATCACTTGACCAGAGAGCCAGCGGGACTTGCTCATAGGTTGGCTGAGAGGTGTGAGCAAAGGGTCAAAGGTTTTGGGGCTGAGAGTGGTTGGGCAAAGTTGTCAATATGTGAGACAGAGAGGAGCAGGCAGGGGGGGAGATCTGGAGCCTTTGGTAGGTTTTCAGATGCTTATCTGATGAGCAAGTGGTGATGGCATATGGCCAGGCTGCAGGTGTAAACTTAGGAGCCACCAACATATAGGTGACGTGTAAATCCATTCGACTCGATGCCGTCCCCAGCGGAATGGCCGTAGATGAAGACAAGGTAAGGTTTAAGGATGGAATGCTGGGTGCACAAGACAGGAGAGGAGGGGGAACGCCCCCAAGGAGACCAAGAACAGGGAGCGGCCGCTACCGGGCGAGCTGGAAAAGGGCACATTTCATGGTATATAAATTATAGCTCATTTTAAAAAAGAGACAACACTTACGGAGGAATCTGCCCTCTGCTTTTTGCGCCTAAGTTCTGTGCTTTTGCTTCTGAGCCCTTCTGAGGAGACTGTGAGCGCCTTGTCCTTCCGTATGTTAGTGCCTGCTGCTTCGTAATAAATTACCCCAAAACGTGGCAGCTCAGGAAACCAGCATGTTTTGATGGTTTCTGCACGTTTCTGAGCTGTCTCTGCACGTTTCTGATGGTCGTGAGCACAGTCGGTCATGAGGACTGCAGCTCCTAGTGGGCCGGCCTGGCTCCTATTCCCTCAGGACTCCACCCGGGCTGGGGCGCCTCCAGCTCCGCGCCCCCGCCCGCCAGGGCCCCCCCCACGCCCCCACCACTGTGTCAGGTGGCATCTCACGGGCGCTCGCCCTGAGATCGCTGCCGTCACTGCAGTCACACGCCATCAGTCACAGAAACCAGCTCCGTGTCGGGGGTGGGAGCGACACAGGGCGAGAACACGCGGGGGGTGGGGCCCCTGAGGGTCCCCCGCACTTGGCACAGGACAGCGTCGGAAGCTACGGAGCGCCGGAGCGCCGGGCGGTCAAGGGATGGGTCTGGTGGGAGGGTGAGGCAGCGTTAGGCCCTGTAGGAGGCCCGACGAGCAAACCTTGAAGCTCACGGTGACAACGGGCGACTAAGCGATGCCGTGAGCTCTGTGGCCTGGATTCCTGTGGACCAGCAGTGACGCCGTCTAAACCGGCAGCGGGGGCGGCTCCGAGGGCGGCCCGCGCCGCACAGCAGTGACGCCCTGTTTCTCTCTCTCCCCCAGCCTCCCTGTGGTCGGTGTCTGGAAGGTCCCATTCACAGAGCACCTCACCTCCCCAAAGGTAATGTCACAACGCGGGTTTTGGCGACTCTTCCTTTCACTTGTAGGATTCTCTTCCTGAAGCCAGAACTTCAGGCATTTGGGTTTTCAGGAGTATTTATATTTTCTTTTAATTTTTCTAAGTCTTCTTCTCAGACTCTCGACATAGATAAATTTAGACCGAACTCCAAGAGTCCGAAGAGTGAGGCGTTCAAGGCCTGATGCAGCTCTGCGTCTTTGGGGAGCAGTTCCAGCCCCGGCCTGAGATTCCGGCCGGGGAGCTCGGTTCATGGTCTCTTGGAGGGGTCTCTGGGGTCTGAAAGAGCAACTCCAGTGTTAAAATTTCATGCTTAGGGAGGAAATGCTCCTGTAAACTACAGGAGGTGACTGTTAAATTCACATGGGCAGTTGGCTCACCCAGGCAGGGGCGGGGCGGGGCGGGGCCCAGGCTGGACCTGCTGCGCCCACAAGCCCCTCCGTGGGCGCTCTGCCTCTTCTGCAGAGAGGGGCGTGTGTCCCTCGCCGCACGGAGCTCTGTGAGGATGAAGGGAGCGTGCCATGCATGGGCAGCACCCGAGTCTCAGCCGTGAGAAGCCCAGGGGACCTTTGTTTCTCAAAAGGGGAAGTTGACAGCCGAGTCAGGGTGTCCTGTGGCTTATTTTCCCACTTCCTCGGTGGAAGGTCGTGGGCTCCTTTCCCGGGTGCGGCTGGGTCCTGCCAGACCTCGTGCCTCTGGGGCCCCGGGGCGAGCACAATGGGAAAGGCCAGGTAATGTTTAGGCCAATGGCACCAACCCGGGGAGTGCACGCTCATCCCCCAGATTTGTGCTGAGCTCAGGCCGAGGGCTGGCGAGCAGAACAGAAGGCTTCACCTGCCAGTGGCAGGCAGCCACAGAAACTTAGAAACAGCTCTGAGTACTTCCGTCCAGGCGCACACACCTCCTGTTTTGTGGACTTCGGGAATGTGAGGCAAAAATGGGTCAGGAATTTAGGGAGACTCCTCCTCCTGCTTTCGAGGCCAGGTTCCCCTTCCTTTTCGCCGCCCACCCTCGGCCACCGCACTCTCCTCTACACCAGGCTGAGCGGGGTGGGGGCCCCTAAAATGAAGAAGGTGCCCACACCAAGCCCAGCGCCCTGCGGCGGGGAGGGGCGCACGAGGCGCACGCCCAGGCCAGGCCGAGGTGGTCCGCCGCTCCGGGGCCTGCGCAGGCCCTGCCCCGCTCTGCCAAGTGCTGCTGGGCACGCGGTGCCTTCCGACCCCCACGGCCCTGATGGCCGGTGCTTCTCTTCCTGTTTTCTCAGTGAAAGAAGCCGGGCCCTAGAGCAGGCAGCCCCTCGCCAAGGTCATGTGCTTGCCAGCGGCAGGGCTGGGCTCCCGACCCAGGACCCACGGAGTCCCCTGGGGAGGGCCCTCTGCAGGGCTGCGCCCGCCGCTTCTCTTCCAACGGCTGGGCCAGCGGCCACTGCTCCTGGGAGTGCGTGGCGGTTTTTAAGAGGATGTGGGGGGCCTGTCCTCAGAATTAGACCGCAGGTGGGGTCCCCCGCAGCACGGGCCCCTGAGGGTGGGGGCGCCCAGCCCGTGCTGGCGCCAGGCAGCGGCCCCGGCCAGCGAGCATGGGGACGGGATGGTCATGGTCACGGGGCAGGCCCTTGTCCTCCCCGGCATTTGCACACGGCTGTCTCACGATGTTGAACTGCCTTTGTGCATGTGTGACGCATGTGTGAAATGTTTTTTACAGCTATGTCCCTAAGACATCCCTGAGCTCACCACCGTGGCCGGAAGTCGTTCTGCCAGACCCGGCGGAGGAGACCAGACAGCACGCAGGTGGGAGGCAGGGACAGGGCAGCACCCACTGCCCCGCAGCCGGCCACCCGCCGGGGGGCCGGCCCTGCTCCTTCGCGCTCTGCGGCCCCGCATGGGGTGACCGCTCTGGGTCGTTCTTGACCCTCTAGCAGCAGCTGTGAGAGCTCCCTGAGCGCCACTGTGTTCACCGCAGTGGCCTGTGCAAGGGGAGGGTGACACACGTGACAACCCGTGGGCGCGGGCGCCGACCCGTGTGTCAGAGGGACCGTCGGGGTGTGGCAGCGGCGCCAGCCTGGAGCGCCTGTGCGAGGAGGCACCGTGTGGTGTGGCTGGTCACCGCAGCCCATGGGCATGGGGAGGTCCCCAGTTTTCCCAGAAAAGCTGGAAATTCAGGTGCATGTGTGGAACCATCCGGTCCTAAAACGCTGTGTCGGAGACTGCGAGGAAAACGAGGTGCCGTCTGGGTCCCGGCCCCTCGGCCTCGCGCGGCCTCTGGTCGGGGCCGTCTCCGGGGCCAGGTGCGGCCTGCCCTGGGGGACCCCCAGCTCAGGGCCAGTAGGAGCGTTTAGACAGTAAACCTTGCAGGGCAGAGGGGCGTGGCCCGAGCGGAGGCGGTGGCCACCGAAACGGGACCCGGCCCCCGCGCGTCGTTCCAGGTTTCCCTCATTTGCAGGAAGGCCTCCCCTCTGCCTTTCTGGGTTTGCACACTTCCCAGTCCCCCAGCTCTGTCTTAGTAACGACAGGGAACCAGACGGGGCAGCGGGGCTTCCACCCAGAGGCAGAGGACCGAGCCGGGCCTGCCGTGCGCTTGGCCAGAGGCTGTTGGGGGCGGGCACGCTGTGACGTCGGGGCGCCTGGTCTGGGGGCCCACGGGCCCAGGCGCCAGCTGTCGGCCTGTCCTGCGGCCGCTCCACCGGAGCTCCCTTCACGCCCCTGCGGGCGGGGGGGGCGGTTTTGTGTTTTAAAGCCCCCTGGGGCCAGCGTGGCGGGTAGCTCCCCCCTTCCCGTCGTGGGTCACGCCGGGCCCTCCCCCACAGAGGTCGTGAGGAAGGTGAATGAGCTGATCGCCACAGGCCAGTACGGCCGGCTCTTCGCTGTGGTGCACTTCGCCAGCCACCAGTGGAAGGTGACCCCCGAGGACCTGATTTTAATCGACAACGAACTGGACATTGCGTGTGGCGAGAGGATCCGGTTGGAGAAGGTGAGCCTGTCGGTTTCTCTGTGTATTTGGGGACTTGGTCACTAAATGTGCAATCCCGCTCCTGGGCCTTCCCTGCAGAGGTTTCCTCGAGTCGGAGGGGACCATGAGCAAAGCCAGGGGACAGGAGAGCGAATGACAATGGAACTGGCCGGGCAGGCGCAGGCAGGGCCGCGGGAGGCGTGGGCAGAGCCGGCTGGGACGTCAGCCTTGTCTCCTGACGGCCTCGTGTCACGTGGATGTGTCCCCACAGACGTGCTCCCACCACAGGTGTGGCAGAGCCCCAGCTGCAGGTGTGGGGTTTTCCAGCCCATGTTTTATGGGGGAGAAAGGTGGAGTTTCGGCTAGAACACGCCTGTGGTTGCCGGCGGCCGCGGGCCTGAAGCAGAGAGGCCTGGCCCGAGGCCCGCCCCGGGCTCCGGGGCCTTCTGAGCGTTGCCCGCTGCATGCTCCGCCCGTGCGCTTGGCCCAGCACTTCTGCCCTTCAGTCATGATTCTGTTTGCCAGGTTCATAGAGGCTCTTTGGTTTTTGCCTACTCTGCTTCTACTTACAAACCTATGTATGAAACAGAAGCTCTCTCCTGGCAGGTTGCAGCGTCATCCTACACACTAGAGGGTTGTGGGTTTGATCCCCGGTCAGCGTGTGTACGGGAAGCAACTGATTGATGTTTCTCTCCCTCCCTCCCTCCCTCCTTCCCTTACCCCTCTGTCTAAAATCAATAAGCCTGTCCTCAGGTGAGGGTTAAAAATATACACATAAGCTCTCTATGCTGTACCATTTTTCTAGAACATATATCACCATTAATGTAACGACACGCAGGGTTTTCTTTATTAATGAAGGCTCCCCCTTCCTTTGTGATCGGAGCTCCTGCACCTTCCCTCTCGGGTCCTCACACAGCCTGCGCTCCAAGCACCCCACCTCAGCTCGGAGCCGGGCGCCAGCTGCCGGCGAGCTCGCTCCTCCAGAATGACGCTGGTGGCTCTGTCTGGCTCATGACCAAGAGGATGCTGACTTCTTAGCTTCTTATAGGATCTAAGGCTTCAGGAGTGCGTTTGTGAAGATCCCTAAGAAGGTGTTATTTGGCGACATTTCACGTTGACAACATGGGAGAAAGCCCTGCCTAACGCTGGCTGATTTTTATAACATAGGATTTCTAAAAGTAACTCTGAAACATTTGTGATGATGTATGTAGTCCTTAGGTGCTGTTATAAATGTTTTCTGTCTTTAGACATTTAAGTTTAGCACAGTTGGATGTTTTTCTTTTTTATTTATTTACTATTAGCGAGAAGAGGGGGGAAGTAAGGGAAACGTCACTATGTGGTTGCATCTTTTGCGCCGCCCGCCGGGGACCTGGCCCGCAACCCAGGCCTGTGCCGTGACTGGGAATCGAACTGGCGACCCTTTGCTTTGCAGGCCGACACTCAGTCCACTGAGCCACACCAGCCGGGGCCAATTTGATGTTTTTCTTACCAGTGAGATGTTAGGCATCTTCCAGCCCCTAATAACACAGCGGTGCACTTGGCGCGAGGGCGTCTGCACCTGCAGCGACACTCAGCGTCACGGTTTCCCTGCCCTGAGGACGTGGTGGCAGTGGTGGCGCGGGATTCTGCTGTTGCCAGTTACCCCTGAGCCTGAGTCTTTGCAGTCCTGTGACCGGCTCCCAAAGATGCTCTCGTCTCACTCGTGTGTCCTTCCCTGTGTGAGACTTCCCTACGAAGTCTTCATTTGTTGTTGTCTTGTTTTTAATAAAAAAGCCACCGTTTTCATAAGAGGGGGACATGTCACTTGACAGGTGACCACCACGTCAGATCATCAGTTTTGCCCATCCTGCGCCTGACAGTCCAGGGCATGTCCACGAGGCACCACGTCTGGCGAGAGCTGTTTGCAGTTCGTTTGAAGCGAAGGGAGTGACTAGGGAGCTGGCAGCTCACAGCCACAGCTCAGCGTCTGACCGATACCCTTCTCGTCTTCCAGCGCGTTTGAGTCACTCCCTATTCTTAGATCCTCTGCCCTGTGTCACTTCCCAGGTGCTGCTGGTGGGCGCCGACACCTTCACGCTGCTGGGCAAGCCTCTGCTGGGGTAAGGTGCTCGCCGGCGCCGGCGGGGGCCCTGTCCAGGGCAGGGCAGGGCGCCGGGCGGGGGGCGCCCAGCAGGGGAGAGAGCAAGCCTTCATTCAGAAAACCTTACGTGCAGCATCAGCAAAGCTGAAAGCTGGCCGAGAAGGTACATCGTTGTTTATTTTCCTCCTTTCTAGAAGGGACCTGGTTCGCGTAGAAGCCACAGTCATTGAAAAGACAGAATCGTGGCCAAAAGTCAACATGAAATTTAAGAAAAGGAAAAACTACAGGAAGAAGAAAAGTAAGTTATCGAAAGCCAAGCAGGTGCCCTCAGGCCTCGCCCCACTTTGGGCCTCACCCCGCTCTGGGCCTCGGAGGGGCGGGCGGGGTCACCCCGCCCACGCAGCCTTCTGTCCTGTGGGATCCCGTGCAGCGGCCGGGGCACGCCACCCCCACGCAGCAGGAACGGGCCTTAGATCACCCGTGGGGCGACGCCATTTCTCGAAGCCGGGGCCGGGGGCAGTGAACAGAACCAGCCCCGTTCCGAGGGGCACACGGGTCCATGTGTGTGCATTTACACGCGCATGTGCGTGCGCACTGGGACACCCCTGAAGGGGAAGACGCCGCGCAGGACCCATGGGCACGGTTGCCTCTGGACAGGGGTGGGCTCCGGGGCAGGAGGGGTCGCCGTGTCCTCTGTCGTGGTCCAGTGCGTGTGGCAGGCTCCTCAGAGCGCTCGTCACTGAGCTCCATGCGTGTGCCATGTGTCCTCGTGCCACCGCCATCACGTGAAAATCCTCGGAAGGAGAGCGTGCGCCAGCTGTGAAGTGGGGGCCATGCGGCCAGCCCTCTCCGGGGGAGGCGGGAAGGGAGAGAGGTCCAGGACGGGTGGGCGGCTGTGAGTTCTGCTCCAGCAGTGGGGGCCCCCAGGGGCGGCGGGTCCCGGCAGGGCCTCAGTCCAGCCAACCCCGCCCAGCCAACCCCGCCCACCCTCCCCCTCCCACCCTGGAGGGCGCCCGAGCGGGGCCTGGCCTGTGCTGTGCCGTCCCTTGGACCCCACGTTACCCTTCCTTGTCCAGGCCTCGTCCACCAGCACTGCCTGGTTCGTCCACAGGCAGCAGGAGGACTGTCCTCCTAGGGGCCTCCTCTGGACGTCACAGTCCCCACGAAGCAGGGACCCGGCGGCCCGTAGGAGCCTGACTCCAGAAACGCCTGTCACCCCCAGTCCTTGGTCACAGCGGGAATCGCTGGCCCGAGCCGCCGGAGCGGGGAGCACGTCCAGTATGCCCGAGAGGGCGGCTCTGGCCCCGTCAGGGAGCCTGGGGGTCGGCCGGGTGGGGCCGTGCGCCCCTCCGCGGCCCGGGGGTCTCCACGTGGGCACGGAAGGGGGAGGAAGGCGGGGGCTGACTCACACGGCCAGGGTCTGTGGGCGGCTGTAACCGGGCTCCCTCTCCCCTCAGTTCTGGTGAACCCGCAGACTGTGCTCCGGATAAACACCATCGAGGTCGCCCCGTGTTTGTGCTGACCGCCGCGCTGACCTTTACAGAAACGTGAAAATAAACCGTCTTCCGGGAGCCCGCGTTTCTGTGTCCCGGAGCCCAAGCCCTGCGCCGGCTGGGCCCCCGCCTGGGTGCTGGGGCCATGCGCCTGGTCTCGGCACGTGCAGCCCACCCCGGGCCGAGCCTGGGTGGGTGCTCGTGTGAGAGGCAAGCTGGCGCTCCTAGCCGCCCTGGACCCCCACCGCAGGTGGCAGGCTCAGGGGGCCCGTTGGAGGGCGCCACTGGGACCCGGGGGTGACACCAAGAGACACAACCTGGATTCCGGGCCAGACCAACAGAAACCTGAGCAGGCTCCACGTCTGAGTGATCCGGCGCACCTGTGCGAAGGAATGTGCCTTTTTAAAAGCCGGGCTTGAAACCAGGCAGCCTGCAGCAGGGAGGGAAGGCGCGGGGGTGGCGCTCTGATGGCCGTGGGGGGAGGGGCTGCGCGGGGCCTGGGGCCAGAGAGCCGTTGCTGCGAAGTGGCAGAGAAGACGGCTCGCCCGAGGAGGTTTGACCTGGCTCCCGAAAGCAGACACCTGTCCCAGGGGCTTGGGGTCAGGCGGGCAGCTAACCCAGGACAGAAGGGGCGTGTCCTGAACCCAGGGCGGCCCAGGGAATGAAACGGGGACTTTGTGGAGCAAATACAGGGGAGCAAGAGACTCTCAGACACCCAGGCCCCAGTTCTGTGTGTCTCATCGGGGCAGGGCCGCCCTCCAGGAGGAGAGTCAGGGCTTTCAAGGGACATGAAACATGGCAAAAACTTTCTTGGCAAGATTCCTTCAGGAGTCCCTTGCCGGCCTCTCCCCCCACCACCACCCCGGAGGCCCCAGGTCGCCCTGACTGGAGGCCGGCCCAGCCCTGAGAACACGCTGCCCCGGCAGTGCCCTCCATGGACAGCAGGGGGCGGCCGTCCTGCAGGAGGAGCCCTGGAGCCCCATTGTCTCCCTGGCTGCAGGCGCTGGGTGGGCGGTGGAGTGGGGGGGTGACCTTTGAAGGTGGGGCACCCTCTGGTGCTACCCTGAGGTGTTTGTAATAACTTCCCACGCGCTCCGGCTCCCTCCCCATCTGAGAGCAACATTTCTGCAGCCCTGGGCTGGCCTCACTCTCTGCCAGTCTGGCACCGTGTCCTGCGATTGTCCTGGGTAAGTTGTAACATTTGAGACAGGGCTCCCCTCCCACGTTCTTTGAAATGCACACTGGCACGCTTGAAAGAGAGAACAGGTTCTGAAAGTTCTGCCCAGTCAGCTGTGTGGCTTCGCACGGCGTTCTGGAGTCCCAGGCCAGCAAGCTGTGTATGGTCTCAGCCAAGTTCCCAAGCGCTGGGCTTCATCTTCCCCACCTGTCTGTGGGGGCAGGTATGCTCGGGCAGGTGCGCCCGTGTCTCCTGGAGGGCCCAGCCTGGCGGCCCGCCCACAGAGCGCTGATGTCAGGGCTGAGCTGGTGAGAGTGCAGACCGGACCGGACGTCATTTGCAAGCAGGGGGCAGGAGCTCCTGCCCAGAAGAAAATGGACAGAGCACTGACCTGCTGCAGTGTTGGGGGGCCTCAGAAACAAGCCCTGTATTTCACGCAAGGAGAAGCTGTCCGGTTCTCCTTGCGTGAAATATCCCAGGTGGGCAGGCTCCGGGAGAGGAGGCGGTTCCTGGGGGTGGGGCGGGGAGCAGGAGAGCCAGGCACAGGGAGGTTGGCACAATGCGAGTGCCACTAGGTTTCTGCAGATGGTATGTTTTATGGCGTGGATGTTATACCAAAGTTTTTAAAAATAGTAAAAAAATGGCCCTGACTGGCGTGGCTCACTTGGGTGAGCATCGTCCTGGAAAATGGAAGGTTGCCGGCTCAATTCCCGGTCAGGGCACATGCCTGGGTTACAACCACCAATCGAAGTTTCTCTCTCATATCAATGTTTCTCTCTCCTTCCTCCCTTTCTAAAAATTAAAAGTCTTTTAAAAAAATAAAAAATGGTTAGGTTAATGGCGTCGCTTATCGGGCACGAAAAAGCGAAAGGAGATCCGCATCAGCTTCTCAACAGAGTATGAAACGTTCTCGCAGTTTCTTGGCGGGGCTGTTCTGGGCAGCGGTCTCAGCGTGCTGCAGGTACCTTGGGTCTGGCTCGCCGCTCTGACCACGCCAGCACTCGCTGCCCCGTCCCCGCTGCCCCAAGGGTTGCAGGCCGGGTTCCTGCCCAGGGAGCGAGTGGGTTCCCCCAGGGCCAGCTGGCACCTGCTGGCCGCCCCTCCCGCTGACGCAGCCGCCAACCCGGCCATTGCCCACCTGGGCCTCCTCGCCCAGCTCCTGAGGCCACGTGGCCGCCCCCAGCCGTCACCCCAGCTTCTCCCCTGGACTGTGGAACTCAGCCCGCCCTTTCCAGGCCACAAGCCCCAGGCCCGAGGCAGTGCCACCCGATGCCTCGCAGGCAAGCCCAGCATGTGCTGGGCATAGGCGGACAGGGTGGAAGGGGACAAAGGGGCCCTGGACAGCCCAGGGGTTCGGCCCTAGGGTTCGAGTCACCAAGCAGCACACCCGGCTGCCGTGAACGCGTGTCACCAGCTCTGATGGGACTGCCCTGGCCACCCGTCTCGGGAGGTCCCTCCCCGTCACTGTGCCGGCCCCCGGCCTTGTTCCTGGCGTCAACCTGTGTGTGTTTAATTGTCCTGGGCTTCTCCCCTGCTGCCCCACCGCACTGCCAGCCCCAGGGGGCGGGGGACGGCGCGCGCACCTGTTACACTCACGTGTCCGTGGCCACCGTCACCACACCCCCAGCCCGGCCGCATGTGGCCCACACGCTGAATGAGTGAGTGAACGTCGTCTCCACCAGAATCCCAGTCCCATGCTCCTGGCAGCGACCACGGGTCCCCGGAAAGGACAGGAGTGGCTGGTTCCATGCAGAGCAGGCCTGTGTGGGGCCCGGGGAGGAGGGGCGACCACCCAAACCATGGGGAAGCCCGAAACAGGTCGGGCACCGTGGCCCTGTGCAGGGGGTTCGGCGGCGTCCGCCGAGGCGGCCCACTGAGGGGCCGCCGTGGTCCCAGCCGGCAGAGCCAGCAGGCGGGTGCGGCTGCTGTGGCTTCCCTGCCGGCATCTCCACACCCCGAGAGGCCCCTGGGCCTCCGCCACTTCTGTGGGGTGGGGCCCGGCCCGCGGGGCTGGAGACCAGTGCGCCACCTGCAGCCTGGGTGCCCTTTGACCTGCTCTGCGCTGACGCCCCGAAGGACGCCCCTGGGCTTCCTCTTCCGTTCCGCCTGTCGGTGGCCGCCTGGCACACAGACATCCCCCTGGGGGCCTGCCCACCGTTCCCAGCCTCGATGTGCGAACAGAACCGCCAGGTCGTTTCTTGTTTTGTTTTGTAACAAAAACATTTTATTTATTTTTAGAGAGAAGGGCAGGGAGGGAGAGAGGGGAAACAGCGATGTGCCAGGGGCCCGGCCCACAACCCAGGCCTATGCCCAGCACCAGGAATCGAACCAGTAACCCTTTGGTTCCCAGGTCAGTGCTCAGTCTGCTGTGCCACACCAGCCGGGGGAGAATCGCAAGGTCTTGCCCTGCACCCAGTCTCTTGATGAAAGTCCAGGGCTGGTAGAGGCTGTCAAGCGTCTCCTGGAATGACCTCTGAGGGACGAAGATCGCTTCATCAAGCGGTCATTTTAAAGCGCACTTCCATTGCGTGGGGCTGCCCTGGGGCCCACCTCAGAGAGGAGACGGTCAGAGAGGGAGGCCCGCGGGGCGCGGGCCCTACGTGCCTGGCCCAGGGGGTGGGGCCCCAGGCCTGGAAAGGCTCAGGTGCACCCATGGGCCCGGCCGGGGACGCCGGCGATGCTCGCCGAGCGTGTGCCGCGCGCAGGGCTAGGCCAGGCACGTCACACGTGCCGACTCGTCCCAGCCGCCTCCTGCCCGTGACGCAGACATGCGGGCGAGGAAAGGGGGCTCTGACAGGCGTGGCTCACAGGGCCAGCTGCCCCGACGCCGCGCCACGCGGGCCGCGGCGGCCGCCCTCGCCCCCGGCCACGGTGGAGGCCCGTCATCGGCGCTTGCAGCTCTGTGGCACACGACATCTCTTGCCTTCCAGAAAATTCTCTCCTCCCAGGATGGTGCGAGGCACAGACACAGAAACACACGACTTCCTCCTGTCAAACCCATACCTTGAAATTAAAGCTGGTGTTTCACTTGATAGGGAACGCTTTCCTGGGAGAAACTTTCCAAATCTCAGGAAAGAAAACATGTTCTGTTAAAACGCTGGCCCGAGGCTGCCTCTGGGTGCCCAGCGTCTCTGGGGGCCACGCCGGCCCCGCCTGGGCTGCTTTGGGCCCTGCTGAGCTCACCTGGAGGAGAGAAATCCCCAGCCCGGGAGGCCTCCCTCCCAGGAGCGTTCGAATTGGACTGAAAGGTCTCAGAGGCTCAGAGAGCATTCTGCACAGGCGCGGGGGGCTGTCAGGAGGCAGGCTCTGAGGCCTGGACTCACAGCCCCCACCCCCCACCTGGGGAAACCGCCTGCCCTCTGTGCCTGCGCTGCCCACACGGCCCACCTGTCCCCTCCCGTTAGCACACGTTCCTGTTCCTGTCTGTCGGACACTGAACATTAGTAAGAGTTCACCACGCTCGCTCTGCCGGGGCAGGACGGGCTCCTCTCCTGGGACCGCTTCACCCACCCGGGACCGCGACCTGGTCCAGGGTCCCAGGTCTGACGGGCAGGGTCCCCTCCCGGAGCGCTGGCTCCCTCCTCAGCCCAACAGGCTCAGTGGCGTTTGCTACAGGGGAGCAGCCCTGGCCGGCAGCAGCCTCAGCCCACAGAGGGGGCGGTGACGCCTCCCTCAGGCTCTCGTGACACCCCTTGCCGCCAGCACCATTACTCCCTTTTAAAATGCAGGTTTTATTACCATGACCATTCAGGTGTGGTGAGGCCAACAGATTAGGACACAACCGCCGCTGAGGTCATGGTGTGTCACTCGGGGCACAACACACCAGAGACACAGTGACACCGGGCCATCTGGAAGCTGAGGGAGACCAGCCGCCGCAGGCAGGGGCTGGGGCTGTGGTTTCCACGGGAAGCAGCCGATGCTTCTTCTCAGGCAGGGTGAGCAGGTCTAGGTGGGGCTTGCTCGGGTCATTTCAGTGGGCTCGGGGGCAGACGGGATGTCCCTGGGTGTCTGGTGCCCTGCCCGAGTGCTTCTCAGTGGACCGTGTCCTGAGCGTGCGACCTGGGAGGTACTCGAGGTTTAGACTCCAGGTGGCTGGTCTGTGGGTGAAAGGCACACTACACTCTCTGCGAGCTGTTTACCATCCCTAGAAAGGAGCTAACACGGGTAAGGGCATGCGCTCGCCCCCCACCGCCAGAGTGTCAGGCAGAAAACGAGAAGGACAGCTGCACCCTGGGGCACTTGGGCGTGAAGGGAAGAAACACCTGATCTGGTGTTCG